TTTTATGTTGTTTAGTCTGTTCTTAAATGTTCAAGAATTGATTTTAAACAGTTTATACAATAATATATAAATTTGTGTTGTATAAATTCAAAATGATATAGCACTACAGAGAGTAAAAAGTTATTTTTTTTCTCATGCTTCTTAACCTACCCTAGGTAGGACAGCCCACTAACCACAGATTGGTTATGTATCCTCTTACAGTACTTTCTCTAACATTCCATGTACACCTGATAAGCAATATTTTATATTTTACCATTCATAATATCAGTTGTTAAGCATGGATGCCAAATGTAGCAACAATGTAATATTTTATCACTAATGAGACTATAAAAGTGAATTGCTTCTTAATAGTGTTTCTTATAGGTCTTCCTATAGTACTGTGTATCTATTTCAGTAGTTGACTTTTTAATCTCAAGAAAGAGAACGTTTGTAGGAAAAAGTTTCATCAAAATATTATGAAATGATAAGCAAGTATAACAATCCCAATAGCAACCAGTAATCTCAAAACAAAAAGGTTTTGTTGTTTTATTCTTGGTGTTGGCAAGATCTTTGTTTTTAAACAAAAATAATTTATAATAATTTATTCTATTTTTTTCCTTATGATTTTATTAATGAACCTATCAAACAATATGATAAAATTTCAGAATAAGAAGTCATTCAGTGGACCAATTAGGATGGTCATATATTTCAGACCCTTTTTAATAGACCAAGAAGTTGAACTCTAGAATTAATTGATCTTTTTTCAAGGTTGGTAGAAAAATTATGACTAGTGTCTATTCCTTGTAAACACCAAGATTCCTCCACTACACTATGCACTGTGTCTGAAATAATATTTTAAAGGAAATTGATGGAGTATATTTTTCACGCCCACAAGTTTTACCAAATGAATGAAAACTGAGTAGACAAAAGAATTTTAGGAATATAAATAGTTTGTTTTTATAGTTTTTGCTAATTATAGATATACAATGAAGCAGCACATTTGCATAATCAAGTTTTATATTGGTGCCAAATAGTAGGTTATTCTTAGCCATCTCTGTGGAATGATAGATTACAGGAACAAGAACATCAGCCATCATTAAGTCTAATATCATAATATTTACTTGAAGAAACATAATTTAATTAAGATTAGTAACATTTTTGAATCCTTATAAACTATTTTTTAGAGGAAAACTTGCAAAAAAAGTTTGAGATAAAAATCACATCAGAACTACAGTTTTCCAAAAATAGTTTTCTAGCGACATCTGCTGGTATAATGTTGTAATAAAGATGAAAGCTCATGGAAGTAATTTCATAGAAGTTAACCATGGGAGAAAAAAATCTTGTGGGCAGAACTTTTTCTTTTATTGTCTTTTACACTTTGTAATTTTACAAGAGTAGTGTTCTGATAATGATTACATTAAGTTTCTTTATCCTTTCCTGTGCATGGTGTGTAATTCCAACTTGAACTTCTATAATTAACTGTGTATTGATTGTTTGAAGTAATGCTGCAAACCCTTCTTGTCTTTCCTGGCTCTGTTTTATGTTACATTTTTCCTTAGCACAGAACCTTGTAGAAATAGAGATTCAGTAAATATGGATTTAATTATAGTAGTTATTTTATGTTATTTGCATAGACTAAATAGAAAAGTCTGTGTATATGAGTAAAGTGCATTATCTTCATGCACACTTGAAAATAAAAATGAGACTTTATAGT